AGTAGAACTCATTACTTGGGTATCATAGGTTATACATTTAGCTATAGCTAAGGAGTAGAACTCATTACTATGGGTATCATATGTTCTATATTAAGCTATAGCTAAGGGGTAGAACTCATTACTAGGGTATCATAGGTTTTATATTAAGCTATAGCTAAGGGATAGAACTCATTACTGTGGGTATCATAGGTTTTATATTAAGCTATAGCTAAGGAGTAGAACTCATTACTAGGGTATTATAAATTTTATATTAAGCTATAGCTAAGGAGTAGAACTCATTACTATGGGTATCATAGGTTTTATATTAAGCTATAGCTAAGGGGTAGAACTCATTACTAGGATATCATAGATTTTATATTAAGCTATAGCTAAGGGGTAGAACTCATTACTAGGGGTATCATAGATTTTATATTAAGCTATAGCTAAGGGGTAGAACTCATTACTAGGGGTATCATAGGTTATACATTTAGCTATAGCTAAGGAGTAGAACTCATTACTAGGGGTATCATAGGTTTTATATTAAGCTATAGCTAAGGAGTAGAACTCATTACTTGGGTATCATAGGTTTTATATTTAGCTATAGCTAAGGAGTAGAACTCATTACTATGGGTATCATAGGTTTTATATTAAGCTATAGCTAAGGAGTAGAACTCATTACTATGGGTATCATATGTTTTATATTAAGCTATAGCTAAGGAGTAGAACTCATTACTTGGGTATCATAGGTTTTATATTAGGCTATAGCTAAGAGGTAGAACTCATTACTATGGGTATCATAGGTTTTATATTAAGCTATAGCTAAGGGGTAGAAGTCATTACTATGGGTATCATATGTTTTATATTAAGCTATAGCTAAGGAGTAGAACTCATTACTTGGGTATCATAGGTTTTATATTAAGCTATAGCTAAGGGGTAGAACTCATTACTATGGGTATCATAGGTTTTATATTATGCTATAGCTAAGAGGTAGAACTCATTACTATGGGTATCATAGGTTTTATATTAAGCTATAGCTAAGGGGTAGAAGTCATTACTATGGGTATCATATGTTTTATATTAAGCTATAGCTAAGGGGTAGAACTCATTACTATGGGTATCATAGGTTTTATATTATGCTATAGCTAAGAGGTAGAACTCATTACTATGGGTATCATAGGTTTTATATTAAGCTATAGCTAAGGAGTAGAACTCATTACCAGGGTATCATAGGTTTTATATTAAGCTATAGCTAAGAGGTAGAACTCGTTACTATGGGTATCATATGTTTTATATTAAGCTATAGCTAAGGGGTAGAACTCATTACTATGGGTATCATAGGTTTTATATTATGCTATAGCTAAGAGGTAGAACTCATTACTATGGGTATCATAGGTTTTATATTAAGCTATAGCTAAGGAGTAGAACTCATTACCAGGGTATCATAGGTTTTATATTAAGCTATAGCTAAGGAGTAGAACTCGGTACTAGGATATCATAGGTTTTATATTAAGCTATAGCTAAGGAGTAGAACTCATTACTGTGGGTATCATGGGTTTTATATTAAGCTATAGCTAAGGGATAGAACTCATTACTGTGGGTATCATAGGTTTTATATTAAGCTATAGCTAAGGAGTAGAACTCAGTACTACGATATCATAGGTTTTATATTAAGCTATAGCTTAGGGGTAGAACTCATTACTTGGGGTATCATAGGTTTTATATTAAAAGTTATAAGGTAGTAAGGGTTAGATATAGGTTTAGTATCATTTCTATGGATTTTCATTTGTAGCATCAAGACTGTTATGTGGTGATGAAGTCTGCTCTGAAGATGAAGTATGCATTGATAATCAGTGTCGGTGTTTACCTCCTGCTTACTGTTCCAATGAAAGACAACTTGTATGTGGTTCAGATGGAAATACCTATGGGAACATGTGCCGCTTAAATGCTACTAGGTGTTTCTATGGAACAGATATTGAAAAAGTATCTGATGGAATGTGTCCAGATTGTATGTATGTCTTTATATTCTCAGTATATGCTTGTATATGTGTCAAGAATGGATTATGTTAACATATTGCCATTGGAAAGCCTCCATTCCTTACTGCCATCATTTATTTTTTAGGTCTCTCCACAGTGAATGTTGTAGATTTTTGTGAATGGATTATGCACTTGGAATACAAATGACGAATAAATAGGAAGAGTTTAATTTATAAGTAATCTAGGTTTCATTACCTTTATCAATATTCATGAGTTTGTACAATATACAATAATGTCACTTCATTGTATATTTTCAGTAGAGCCCACAACTTCACTGAAACCCCTTGTTACATGCGCTCAGCGATGAATTCATTGTAACACTGTTACATTGTGGTCAAACAAAATTGTGTTTTGACAAATTTTGGCAACTTAATAAGCTGTATGCAACTCTTTTACACCTATATAATAATTTTAGGCACTTGATAAATATCTAGTTTGTTAATGGGAATCTTTGCAGTTACCCTGTCTGCGTCTGTGTTTGTGTGTCTATCCGTTTCACTGATATCTCAAGAATCGTATGTTGGTTTTTAATGAAACTTGGTGTATAGATGCTCTGAGCTAATGCGCATGTTGAAATTCATATGTATACATTAGCTGTTCCTTGACTGTTCCACTGATATCTAAAGAACCATTCATAAAATTGTGATGAAACTTAGTACATATATGCTCTGGACTAATGCACAGATGCGATCAGTTTTGGGTAAAAATCCATGCATGTAATTAACCTAATTTGCATAATGATTAGTAAATTTTTTGGCTTTTCCACTGATATCTCATGTACTAATCACCACATTTCAATGAAACATAGATACATAGGACGATGCACAGACAGATACGTGAAATACTAATTACCTAATTTGCATAATTAATCAATTTTCAGCTTTTGATATTTCAAGTACTCTTTCAGTGTAAGTCAATTTCAAGAACATGAGAGAAGTGTGATTAAATTTGTTTGCTATATAACTTAGGGGATGGGGAGATATTAGGTGTAAGGTCGTGTGTCACTTTCTCTGATTGTTGTTAATTTCATATATATGTTCATGCATATTAAGTAGCTAATTCACATATTCATTTTCTCATTTCATTCAGTGTAAGTAAAATTGCAAGAACATGAGAGAAGTGTGATTAAATTTGTTTGCTATATAACTTAGCGGGATGGGGAGACATCAGGTTTAGGGTCATGTGTCACTTTCTCTAATTGTTGTCAATATCTCAAGTACAAGTAATTTTTAATTATTTTCAATGTATCTCCATTACTCAGCACAGGGAGTTCTTTCTAAGCTTTCTTTGATTTTCTCACTTCATTCAGTGCAAGTAATATTGCAAGAACCTGAGAGCAGTGTTTGATTAAATTTGGGTCCTATATAACTTAGGGGGATGGGCAGACATTAGGTTTAAGGTCATGTGTCACTTTCTCCGATTGTTGTTAATTATTTAGATAGTTTTTGTATATAATAGCAATGATTGTTTATATTATGTATTCACACATTTTTTCTGCAGAGTTTAACTTTGATTGAACATGTTTCTAAAGTCCTCCATGCAAGGATAAATTTCAATACGTATAACCATTTTGTATTTTGTTAGATTCATGTGAGACACATGACTGCAACAATGATGAAGAGTGTTTTATAAATGAAAATGATGAACCAGATTGTCGATGCAAAGATTACTGTGATGATGACTTTGATCCTGTCTGTGCTACTGATGGGATTCTTTACGATAACAGATGTAAATTTCGTGTACATAGATGTAGGACTGATGAAGATATTGCAATTGATGACACAGGATCAAGTTGTGAACCAGAACAAGGTATTCAGTGAATATTGTATGTGAATTGATTTCAAGTAAAGGATTTGTACATGAACACAATTTGAAAAATAACTTAATTCTAAAATTATAGTTAAAAGACCAGAAGCA